ACTACGAATGCGGAAGAACGACTCTTTCTCTAAAGGTTTTGTGAAAATGTCGGCTAATTGGTTGTGTGTTTCAACAAACTCAATTTCGACATCACCTTTGAGAACATGATCTCTAATGAAATGATGCCTAATGTCAATATGTTTCGTCCTTGAGTGAAGAACCGGATTCTTTGTCAAGCTTATGGCACTAGTATTATCACATCGAAGAGGGACGTGATTGATACTAAGGCCATAATCCACAAGTTGTTGCTTCATCCAAAGGATTTGAGCACAACAACTACCGGCGGCAACATATTCCGCTTCGGTTGTGGATAACGCAACACTGACTTGCTTCTTGCTAAACCATGAGACTAAAGAACTACCAAGCAAGTGACAAGTCCCACTCGTACTTTTACGGTCTAATCTACAACCGGCAAAGTCCGAGTCGGAATAGCCAACAAGATGACAAGGAGACCCCTTGGGGTACCATAGTCCAACGTTCATTGTACCAACAAGATACTTCATTATCCGTTTCACCGCCGTTAAATGCGATTCTTTCAGACAAGATTGATACCTTGCACATAAACAAACGCTAAACATGATATCGGGTCTACTAGCGGTAAGATAAAGAAGGGATCCGATCATACCTCGATACTTCTTTACGTCTACTTCCTTACCCTTTTCATCTTTTTCCAAGAGCTCGGAGGTGCTCATTGGGGTAGCCATTGCTTTGGAGCCATCCATTTCAAATCTCTTTAGGAGCTCCTTGCAATACTTTGATTGACAAATGAAGGTCCCTTCCCTCATTTGTTTGACTTGTAACCCCAAGAAGAAATTGAGTTCCCCCATCATGGACATCTCAAATTCATTTGTCATTAAGTTTGAAAATTCCTTGCACAAAGATTCGTTAGTAGCACCGAATATAATGTCATCTACGTAAACTTGCACCAAGAGGATGTTATCGTTTTTACTCTTGATAAAAAGTGTAGTGTCAACCTTCCCCCTTTTGAACCCGTTGTCCAAAAGAAATTTGCTCAAACGTTCATACCAAGCACGAGGTGCTTGTTTAAGACCGTAGAGTGCTTTCTTTAGTTTATAGACATACTCCGGGTGCTCAAAATCCTCAAAGCCCGGGGGTTGATCAACATACACTTCCTCTTGAATAAAACCATTGAGGAAGGCACTCTTAACATCCATTTGGTATAGTTTAAAATCCATAGACGAAGCAAAAGCGAGTAATAAACGAATAGCTTCTAAACGTGCTACCGGTGCATAAGTTTCTTCAAAATCAATGCCTTCTTCTTGATTGTAGCCTTTAGCTACGAGCCTAGCTTTGTTTCTAGTGATTATTC